CTAGAGGAATGGCTGTCCGATCTCTTCAAGAATGGAGATTCTAAGCTTTGCTGTCTCTTTGCCCTCCCTCCTGCAACTCCACACTACGTTCCACCACACACAGCTTAGTGTATATGCACCGCACCCGTCCTTCTCATGTGTCCGTCTGGCCTCTTTGCGTTTCACCTCCATCCAGCCTTGCCAGAGCCCAGCGCTCAAGTTTCTAATCTGCTGCCAAGATTGCGTCATAAATTTGTCTGGATTACTCATCTTAATTCTAATACTGAGCTTCAGCTCAATGCCCTGCTCTCCGAGGGAACTCGGCTTGAAGCTCTTCAGAATTGGTGATGTAGCCAGTTGTGTGAAACACTGATCTAGGGCAACTTTGGTTAGAATGGCAAACTTTGCATTAAATTGGTCTTTGGGGAGACCTAAGTCAGCAATCTCTCCATTGTAGTTTGAATGGTTTGACTTGGAAAGCTGTACGAAGCCAACCATTGGGGTTTCTAACTCAAATTTTATAGCTCAGGGCATAACCACTCAACCAATTGTAGCCTATTCAATAAACCATGATTAACTCAGTATGATGGGGGAACTGAATCTATAATGGTGGAGAATTCTTTCCTGGAAACGGGACCAGCTTATAAGAAAGCAAAAAAGCTTGTTTTAAAGTTAGCCGGTGGCTGCATTAAGCAGGTGAGTTAGAAAAAAAAAAACCTTAGCAACTGTATTCATACAACCTAAGGTTATTTTTATATTTTGTGGACTAGCTCGATGGGAAACTGAGTCCAACCTCAGTAATTTATAGTGGAGGACATTGGGCACACTTCCCCAAAGGGGACCGGATTTCATAAATAAGCACATAGTGTGAAGCAACAGTCATTTTTCAGCTCAAGAGGGAATAATACGCAGGCGTCCTTCCTTTTATTCAGCGAAAATGATTGAGTGGATTTTGGAAGTTGTAAAAGTGGAATCTGGAAATCGTGCTGCGGAACAGAGTGTTGGGTTCCAAATTGCCTAAAAATAGCATCAAGAACAAGGGAAGGGTGACTGTCTGTACAAACCCAGCTCTCGTGCTTAGCATTCTGGAACTAACCCTGACGGTCAGCGTTCCCTTCTGCCAGCCTGGATCACTTTTTCTCATGGGTATATTTTTTAATAAAACACAAGCAAGGTAGATCTTACCAGACCACTGTTCGGGTTCTGCTGTCTTCCTTTTGACCACCCCAGTAGCTAATTCTATGAACGGCACTGATCTTAATTTCCGCATTTAATTCTTGGCTTTCTTTTTAGTTGCACTGATTTGGTTTATATCAAACTTGGCCCTTTTATGACTTGTGGACTTCAACTCTCAGAATTCTGCCTATTGAGATCTTAAAAGTTGTCAAGATTGGACCCCCTTGCTCTACATGAATTCAGATGCTTGCCCAGAGCTGGGAATTGTAGCGTAGCCCCTCACATTCTGTAATTATATAAACCGAAATGGATATATTTCAGGTGGGTGGATATATTTAGGAGAAAGTGTTGTCCACTTTCCTGGCTTTGAACATAGAATATAAGGTTGAGAGGGGCCTTGGAGGTCTGCTAGCCCAACCCCTTAGTCAAACAGGAGACCCTATACCAGGGGTAGGCAACCTTGACTCTTTTATGACTCATGGACTTCAACTCCCAGAATTCTTGAGTCAGCTATGCTGAGGGGAAAGAGAGAGGTTTCCAAGCTGAGCCATGCTGACTCAGGAATTCTGGGAGTTGAAGTCCACGAGTCATAAAAGAGCCGAGGTTGCCTACCCCTGCCCTACACCATTTCAGACAAATGGCTGTCCAGGCTCTTCTTGAAAACTCCAGTGAAGGAACACCCACAACGTCTGGAAGCAAGCCCTCGCGCTGATTAATTGTTCTCAGGAAATTCCTCCTTAGTTCCTAGTTGGATCTTCTTTAATGATCTTCTACCCATTACTTCTTCTCCTGCCCTCGGGTGCTTCGGAGAACAGGTCAACCCCCCTCTTCTCCCTGTCAGCTCAAGCCCTAGAAGACTGTTACTAGTTCTTGTGTTCCTTACTGTCTCCAGCATGGAACTAAAGACTTTCTGAGCGAAAGGAGAGTAGGCTAGGACACATGCCAGCTGTTTCATTTCAGTAGATTTATCTGACATTAGAGACATAATAGAGAGCCAGTTTTGGTGTTGTGGTTAAGACATCAGGCTGGAAAGCAGAAGAGCTTGAATTGTACGCCGGCCTTCGGCACAAAGCCAGCTGGGTGACTTTGGGCCAGTGATTCTCTCAGCCTTAGGAAGCTGTCAAGGGCAAACCACTTCTGAAAACCTTGCCAAGAAAGCTGCTGCTGGGACTTGTCCAACCAGTTGCCAGGAGTCAACAGTGCCTTGTGGGCACAATAAAAGAAAGGAGGGACACAGTCAGTAGATAGGGAGCTGGCAAGCTGTGGATGCATCCCCTAATGCAGGGATGGTGAACCTTTTAGAGACCGAGTGCCCAAACTGCAACCCAAAACCCACTTATGCATCATCGGGTGCCGGGTGGGTGTGGCCCATTGGGTGGGTGTGGCTCATTGGGTGGGCGTGGCTGCGGTGGTAACAGCGGACTGGGTGGGACTAAAAAGTTCAATCAATCAATTCCAACTTTGCAAGATCTTTTTTTCCCCGCAAGAAGTTGAAATTGACTGATTGATTGAACCTTCTTTTTTTTTTTGCACACGGCAGCGGAGGCCTAAAGCGAAAAGGTTTTATAAAACCCAGCTGAAGGCCTAGGACTGGGGCGACGGCGCACGTGCCCACAGAGAGGGCTCTGAGTGCCACCTCTGGCACACGTGCCATAGGTTCGCCACCACTGCCCTAATGGTTGCTACAGTTGGGTCTATGTAGGTGCTAGGCCTCTGAGATGGGGTTGTGGGGTTTTGTTTTTAGTTGCTTTCTTGGACTCATCACGGGCCAATGCTGGCTTGCAGTGAGGCTGAGCTGGCAAATGATTTTTCCCGTAAGTAGTGCTGATCCAGTTATCATAAATTTGGCCTTCTCTTGGCTCCAGGATGGAAGAATATCTGGCAAAGTGCCTGATTAGCAAAGAGCAGACTCCAGCTGGGAAATCCCTGCAGGGGAATATAAACCTCTTTGGGTGGGTTGTCTGGCTTCTCTGGAGAACAAGTGGACCCTTGCCACGACCTCTTTCCATTTTTAACCTTTGGAGAGCTGGTTCACTCTGCTGCCTACCCCAGAAGGCAATAAGCGGGGTGGAGCCAGATTAGGAAGAAAAAAGAGGGTACTAAGCCACCTTTGTCTAAAAGAGCATCAAATAACATTTCAAACCCTTTGTGGAAGATGCTAAGACTAAGCCAAGCCTCTGATGATTTAATAATAACTGGTGTGGATCCAGCCTCCATCTTTCCTACCTGCTTGTGCTTGCTACGGATTCTAAGTAAGAGATACAAGAACTCTCTAAGCTTGGGATCTGCCCAGATTCTTTTAGATCTGAAAAGCTCCAGATTTCCCTTGGTGTAGGGAAGGTGAGCCAAAGAGGGACTTGGAGAGTTGAGGAGCAGTCACAGAGAGGAGGGGGTAGAGTAGACTTACTCTACAAAGCATGTGAGGGCACAACAAGAAGTAACAGATGGAAGCTTATCAAAGAGAGATCCAACCTAGAATTAAGGAGAAATTTCCCGACAGTGAGAGCAATTAATCAGTGAAATGGCTTGCCTCCAGACATTGTGGGCACTCCACACTGCCGAGTCAAGAAACGATTGAACAGCCATTTGTCTGGGATGGTATAAAGACTCCTGCCTTGGGCCAGGGGGTTGGACTAGAAAACCTCTAAGGTCCATTCCAGACCTAGGATTATATTCTATACCTCTGAACCTTTATGCTTTGAACAGAGGAAGGAATCTAGCAAGGGTCTGTTTCCCTTCTGCAAAAAAGAAAGAAAGAATTGCTTCTGCAGTCTGTCACAGGTCCCCTAGCCCAGAAACATGATATCTCACTGGCTGGACAAGTGACAGCTAATAAATTGGCAGCCCATGCTCGGACTGCAGAAGTGGAATTTGTAATCGTCATTGCCCTAAATATACCAGATCCCCAAGTGCTTAATTAAATGTCCATGTTCTTGCTCTCTGCTTCTTCTGCTGGTATAGGAATTCAAAAGCTAGCCAAAGCATTTATTTTTAGCCAGGGCTTGGACCACCTTACTAATCTTGCTTCAGACCAGCGCAGCAATGTGCAATCATAGACATTTATAGTCCTGGGACCTCTGTGCGTCTCCCAGATGGAAGACAGAGGAGACAGGCCATGGGAAAGGGGTAGAAAGAAGACATGTTTGCATGCTATATAAAATCAGTTTGGTTAAGTGGATGAGGGTCATCTTTTAATCAGCGTACTAAATTGGAACTTTTGGCTGACAGTGTCTTCTCTAATTGACATCTGTTTGGATTTGGAGAAAGCATTTGTAACGATATTTAAGCTGCATTCAGCTAGGGGCACGTATAGCAATATATCCTAAAGTATGGTTTTCATATTATAGGGACTGGACCTGCTAACGTGAGATGTTAATTCTGCTTGGAATACTCCGGATCATCCACCGAGGACTCAACTAAGCATCCAATGTTAAGTGTGAGTACCATCAACACTATTAAAAGCATCTAGATCAGGGGTGTCAAGCTCACCACGTCACGTGATGTGTCGCGAAGTATCGTGACATTTTCCCCATTGCCAGAGCTGGGGTGGGTGCCTGGCTGAGGAATTCTGGGAGTTGTCATAAAAGAGTCAAGTTTGAAGACCCCTGTCCTAAATGAATCAGAACAGAAACTGCAAAGGAATCTGCCACTGTTATCAAATCTGGTGTCAGCTGTGTTCCTTATGTCCTGCCAAGCAGCAACTTTAGCAATAAATAGTCCACACCTCCTTCCCTCAAAAATAGAACACATCAGAGACAATGACTTACTTGCAAATGGAAGAATGAATCTGTAGAAATCCGGGTGGTTTTTTTATTTATTTAAAAATAGCCATATACAAAATATATGTTCTATATATTTTTTTTAGAAAAAACACACACTTATTTTACAAAATTTGCTTACAAATTAGTAGCACATTTAACTTGGCAGACAGAACTCAACATTGTTGGCAATGCTGCCCAAGGGAAACATTAAAGAACATCCTGAGAATGTAGTGGAAGCATCCAAAATTGTTTTGCAAGGTTGTATGTCTGAACTTCACTTCTGAGAAGATGAAGAAACTATGGTCAGTTGGGTTTCACTGTTAATTGTAACGACCGCCCAATGGGTAGTCCCACCATAATCCCAGACTGCTTTGCTAATGCTGGTTTATGTTTTCCTAGAGTAGACTAACCCTCCTAAACCAGGGCAACTTCCATATCTCAGCAAGAACCACGTTGGCTGGAGAATTCTGCATATCTGAAGAGTTGGTTTGAGTCCATCTCAGACTTTTGAGTTGGATGCAAACCTACCTTCCACCCACCATTTATAATGGAAAGGCCCTTTCATGCATAGATGGCCTGGAAGAAGTTCAGATCCTCCCATTCTTTGCTGAGCATTCATGGATCTAGTGAAAATCTTTTCTGGTTCACTTGGGGAATCTCTGAAGAACTGAGTGGTGCATTACTTAATGGAAACCCCACCACCCTGCATGAGCAAAAATGGTTATTTGGATGCAAACCATGCTTTCACTGCAATTCAGAATATGTGGACGGAGGTCTTCGGGTTATCCATGGAGAAATAACTTGCTTCAGATTTAACTGAGGCAACGTCTGAAGTGCACCATGGGATCTAGTAAAGCTTTCCTAACCCCCTCTCTACCGCTCAGAGGTAGAGAGATGAAGGAGCCAAGCATTCTGCAAGGATCCTGCTGTTATCTTCTTGGACTGGTCCAGCCCATTTTGAAGGCCTTCAGGGAGAGACTTCATATCTGAAAACACAGCTACACGTCCAATGCCCATTCTCAAAATTTGGCCAACAGTCATCCTTCAGAGGAGAGGCTATGTTCACCAGCGTTAAGGAGGATTTTGGTTCACCTTCTTCAGCAGAGAGCTAGCAATGGCCAAAGCGCCACCTTGAACAAATCTCACAAAGTTGTCCCCAGCTAACGGCCCTATGGCGTAGAGTCCCTTCTCGTGAACGGACTCGTAAGTGAAGAGATCAACATCTATGGGGTTCCTCTTGGAACTGACTGGCCGCTCACAGTCAACGGCCAAGTCCATCCCATTGCTGGGCAAGTAGGAGAGGTTGGGATTGGAGCCGATGAGGACAAAAGCCATGGAGATCCGGTGTATTTGTTGATGGCCACTCTTGTCGGAAAAGATGCACTTCCGGTCCTCCAAAAAGCAGGCCACGTGGTGCTCAGGAAGGCTGACATAATGTTCGTACGGTCCCGGGTAAGGGTTGGCCTGCTCCCTCATCATCTGGTGGACTTTGTGGTACTCGGGGTACATTGTTTTGGGGAGCTGGTTGAAGATGAGCCCCGGGTCATTCACGCGCCGGCGAAAAGCGTGGATCACAGGAATGTTATAATGGTGGGCAAAGAGAATGGCATCCGCTGCCGTTAAGCCTGCTCCTACAATCAAGATTGGGTCCGACATGACGCCGATCTCCTTGTTCTTGACGGCTTCTTCGAGAGCTGACAGCGTGTGATGGATGAAAGGGAGATGCTCGCCTTGGATCCCAAGCCGTGTTGGGCTATCATAGGTCCCCGTGGCCAAGACCACATTTTCCGCATAAACTGAGAAGGGATGGGTGCCACTGATGTTGGTGACAAAGCCATCAACCTGGAAGAGACTGTCCTTGCTTCCTTGAGGTCTCTGGGATAAATCCCACACGGAGCTGCTGTCCTTGGAATCTTCTGAATCCAAGTTCAATCTCTTCACAGATGTCACCAGAGTTCCACAGAGGAAGTTCTTCTTGAGCCCTTTCTTGGCCACGTAATATTGATAGTATTGGACTATGTCGCCAGCAGTTGCTCTGTTGTTTCTGAAGCCCCTGTAAAACAAAAATACGATCAGAACAGATTAATAATCAATGGAGACCACTCCTGTAGCAACTCATAACTCACCACCCAAAATTAGGGTTTTGAGCTCAACTTAAAAAGCATTTTATTAATGGATGCAAATCAATTGGATGGAAACATAAGGGGACATTTCCATAGTAGACCATTAAACCCGCTTCTATTAGAAATATGGGTAAGACTCTGGCTGAGGAATTCTGGGAGTTGAAGTCCACAAGTCATAAAAGGACCAAGTTTGAAGACCCCTGGTTTAGGACAAATGCTTTCTCTTCTTGAAAACCTCCCATGGTGGAACACCCACAACTTCTGAAGGCAACCCATTCCACGGGTTAATGGTGCTCATTGATAGGAAACTTCTTCTAAACTGGATCTCTGTTTGATAAGTTTGTATCCGTTACTTCTTGTCCTGCCTTCAGGTGTTTTGGAGAATAGATTGACTCCCTCTTCTTTGTGACAGCCGCTCAAATCTTGGAAGACTGCTATCATGTCACCCCCTCATCCTTCTCTTCATTAGACTAGACATATCCAGTTCTCTCAAGAGTTCATGTCCGAAGGGTTGAGCCTAAAGCTACTGTTTAATTGGAGTTTCCCACAGGGAACCTATCCTACCTTTTCTTCCTGGTCAACCAGTCTTTGAACGGAACATCAGGAAGCCCCATCCAATCTCCTTGGCTCAGGGTGAACATGGATCCTTCAATAGACTACACAGAAAGAAAGAAAGAAAGAAATTAGCACATAAACCCAGTTGTGGAAATACCACTGGAATTGATATAGAGAGACTGGGGGTCCCTTCCACAAAATTAGCCAGAGAACTAAAAATTGCCCCTCCTCCCAAATCTAGCACAGGCCCCTCTCTCATACACAATGCAATTTCTTTGACCTGATCCAGGATGTTGCATATACCCAGCAACTGATGTTTGCAAAGCACGGTTTATGACTTTGCGTGATGAGAACTCTAGTAATCATGGTTTATTAACAAACCATGTTTTAATCGGCAAACGGTAGTATAATAAACAAAAGGAAACAAAAAGCAAACTATTCAAAAAGGAAAAAAAACAGCATGGCAAGTCCAGCAGATACATAATCTAAAATATCCTCATATTATCTAAGTTCCAGCAGATGTCCCCAATTTACTGGAAGCGTTTTGACACGGTTTCAACCATTCCAGGAATGCTCTAACTTTGAAAGAACCCGTTTCAAATTCCAAATACTTGTTTCAAACTTGACATTCAACTATTTCAAACTTGCAACACTTTTAAAAAATGGTGGGAACTAAGTCAGATCTCTTCTACTAAGGCAGGAATTAAAACATGAAGCATTTTGAATTTGAGTCTGAATATTTAATTATTCTTCAGGGATCAAACTCTGAACAGTTTACCGTTTCTATTCACCCCATACTAACCGAGTTTAACCCAGACTGGTTCTAGAAACTTGGGTTATGCTTTAACTTGATTTACACCAGCATGGTGCAAAAAAAAAATATCTTTTTTTTCCCACCACCAGTTCTCATTCATTCTGCTAAAAGGAAAGCTGGTAACAGAACAACAGAGTTGGAAGGGACCTTAGAGATCTTCTAGTCCAACCCTCTCCTCAGGCAGAAAACTGTATACCATTTCAGATAAACAATTATCCAGTCTCTTCTTAAAAACCTCCAGTGTTGGAGCACTCAAAACCTCTGGTGGCAAGCCGTTCCACTGATTAATTATGGATCCTAAGTTCTATGTACCTTCATTTATACACGCTAATATCTTGAGCTGCACTTACATGCCAAGCTCCTCCAGGGAAGGTTTTGCCAAGAACCAGATGAGGGATGGCCCGGTCAGGTTCATGCCACCAGGTGAGGACAGACTCGGCTGTCCCACCAAAGTCCGTATCTGGACGCAGAAGGGCATCGAAAAGGAGAGCCACTGGACTGGACGATCGACCCTCTAAACCTTCAGAAAGATACTCCAGATCCTGTAGGGAAAAAAACAAGATGTCTTGATGGGGGATTCCTACCACAGCTACTGAAAACGTTAGTCTGGGGCACTGCTCTGATCTAGATAGATGGAATGGTGATAAGCTTTCATTCTTGCTTCAGATTATATTGAACACACACACACACACACACTCACTATCTATATATCTACTAGCTGTACCCAGCCACGCGTTGCTGTGGCTCAGTCTGGTAAAAGCGTGTGTTGCTTTTACATCCAACAGATGGCGCTGTTTTTCAAAAAAAGCATGTTTTTACCTGTCACAGGTGTGACATCTATATAATATAGGTATATAAAAACACGCGCGTATTCGAATGCAACGTTGTGTGAAAATTTCAAACCAATCGGTGAAGAACTTTCAGAGATTTAAGATTTTGAACAAACAAACATTTACATTTTTATTTATACAGAAGATATATCTATCTCTATTTCTCTCTCTCTCTCTCTCATATATCCATCTATCCATCTCGATATCAATATCTATATCTTATCGAGATATTGAGATATCTATATCCATATATCTAGATCTATCTATATCAATACGGTAACTCTCTTGGTTTTGCAAAAGGGAAGGGTCTCTCTGCAGCCAAGTCACTTGATTAGGAGGCCACCCCACAGAGGTCGGTGCTATACCAACCTGATCTACAATGGGAACCTCTGAGGTCTCTTCCAATTTTCTTTGCAAGATTGGATTCGGATGAACGGAGTTCCTTCTGACGTAGGGAACGTTGCCGGACAAGAGATAGGATAAGCAGATCCCTGAGGGACCATTTCCTGAAAGACAGAAGTCAAATGGATTCATCTAAGGTTACAAGCGCCAGGTGTATTATTTATTTGTTTTCACACCGCCTTCATCATTTTCATAAGTAACTCAAGGCGGTAAACATTCCTCACACTCTTTCTTCCTCCTCCTCCTATTTTCCACCCATGTTGTGTCACACCAATTTCTCTGGACCTGATTGTGACTCAGTTGCCGTTGGGTATGCAAACCTGAATTTGCATGGTTGGGAAAAGCAGGTACCTGTTTAACACTGGGTTTTATTCATGACTTCCCCCATTCCTTTTGCACAACCATCAAAAACAAAAAAAAGTCTGCTGGGCTTGTTTTGAAGTTCATGGCCAAGGGCCACCCAAATAAAACTTCGGTTGTTGGCTAAACCCAAGAGCTTAGAAAACATCTGCCTTGCTACGAAGCTGTGGAGGCATAATTCACACCTGGAGCCTGAGCCACGACGGCTGGGTTCGTAGGGAACACGGAGCCAGAAATACAGCAAGGACTTTTTTGTAGGGCAAGCCCTGGCAAATCAAAGTTGCCTGCCCGAAGATATCCCAGCCGAACAACTAGGATTTATTTTGGAATCAGAAAGAAGTGACTTATGACCATTTTTCACACTTGCGACCACTGCAGCATCTCTGTGGTTATGTGATTAAAATTTGGATGTTTGGTAACTGGCAAGTATTTATGAAGATTTCGGGGTCCCAGGGCCCCATGCAAATATGGGGCACCGACTTGACTTAGGACCACAATTGTCTTGTTAAGTGACAATTTTGCCCCATTTTACGACATTTCTTCCCCGCCGTCGTTCAGTGAATCATTGCAGTTGATAAATTAGTAACCTGGTTGTTAAGCGAATCGGGCTTCCCCTTTGACTTTGCTTGTCAGAAGGTCGCAAAAGGGGATCACGTGACCCCGGGACGCTGCGACAACCGTCATTAAGTATGAACCAGTTGCCCAGCGTCCACATTTTGGTCACGTTACCCTGCGGATGCTGCAACGGTCGTTAAGTGTGAAAAAAAAGTATCATACACTGCTTTTTTCAGTGTCGTCGTAACTCTGAACGGTCACTAAACGAACTGCGGCAAGTCGAGGACCAGCTGTATCTGAGAACATTTGCAAATCTAATTATTTTGGGTAACTGAGACGCTCGTTTGCTAGAGCTGCTTTCCTGCCAGATTAATATTTTACCGGCTGACACGGAACCATCTGTCACTCTTCGCAAGAGGAGCCTCGTGGCTTAAAAGGAAACGCCAGAGCTGTGTAACACGCAAAAGAGCCGGTCAGCATGACACAGCAAGAGGGGGAAGGATTCTGTTCTATCTGGCACAGGCCCCAGGTTGTAAATACAGCTGGAAATTGCAGCTTTCCCCGCCCTTCTCGGCTCTATTACAGGCACGCTCTTTTCTGCTGAAGCACTCGTCCCAAGAGGGTCTAAAATAGAACATTCTGTAGCTTCCAGAAGACTTTGATGCTCAATTTATAGGTAGGAAAATTCCATGAGCACTTATCTGGAGAAAGATACAGAATATAGAGTAACAGGATTGGCAGGGACCTTGGAGGTCTTCTAGTCTAACCCCCTGGCTCAAGCAGAAGATCCTATGCCATTCCGGGCAAATGGTCGTCCACATCATGTGAACTTGATAGTGTTGATGCAGCCTAGGACTATATTGGGGTTTTAGGGTGCTCCAGCACCTGCTGACTTATACTTAATAAGGAAGCAAAGGAAGGAAGGAAGGAAGGGCCAAAAGTGCAGGAAACGGGGGGAGAGAGAAAGAGAGAGAGAAAAGAGAGAGAATATTAATATAGATGTTCCTTTTTTAATCATAATTCTTGGAAGTACAGCAGCTTGTGGCTGATAGGAACAAGCTGGCTTGGGAAGATAACCGCGCTGGTATCTGCCGATTACTTCCCAGAGGGACTTACCTATAATCACCACGGGAAGAGGTTTGGCGTTGCTCTGTTCCAGATGTGCATGAAACATGACTTATTCTTTCGCTCTGCCAGCAGAGTTCAAAGACCTCCAATTCTGCCTGTAACGAGAAGGGCACACAAATATTTGAAGTATGGATTATTGCTTCTCTGAGACCCACCCCAAGCAGGTGGCATGGAAAGAAAGACTCAAAAACCGGACAACTGAACGAGAAAGTAGAGAAGCTTAGCGAGTTTTCCAGGCCATCCCCAAGTTTCCCTTTAAGGATGCGGAAACTGGAAACTGCGCCTAGTCCCAGACTGGAAGTGTTCTGTTTCACACGCTCTAAACACTTTTCACAACTTGGTACCACCATTGTACTGAAGAAAGGGAGGAGATGGGAGGGGACTCTCCCCAGATTGCAAGGCTGCTTTGAGCACATCAGTACCACCTATATTTTCAAATTTCATGTCAGTGATTAACTACTAATTAGAAGGCAGCTTTCTGAACACAAGACCTTAGCAAATATTCAACAACTGAGAATTTAAAGGGTTCGGCGAACACCTAGAGGCAAACAAAGTCATTGCTAAAAGCCAACGTGGGTTTGTCAAAAACAGATCATGCCAGACCAAATCTTACTGCATTCTTTGACCAAGTGACAAAATTAGTGGACCAGAGGAATGCTGTGGATATAATTTACTTGGACTTCAGTCAGGCATTTGATAAAGTAGATCACAACCTATTACTTGATAAGATAGAAAAAATGTGGGTTAGACAGCATCACCACCAGGTGGATTCGTAGCTGGCTAACCGTCCGTACTCGGCGTGTGGTCCTCAATGGAACTACTTCTACTTGGAGGGAAGTGTGTAGCGGGGTGCCCCAGGGCTCTGTTCTGGGCCCAGTGCTCTTCAACATCTTCATCAACAATTTGGACGATAGTATAATAAACAATAATATCTCCAGCCTGCATGATCAGGCTGATTGGGAATTACAGAACTGTAGTCTGAGAAACAGACTAGATCCAGGTACGCTTCCAAGCAGGACTATTTGTGTGAGAAATGCATTCAAGGCAAGGCCTCCCACTGGCCACCCAAACAAGGTTGAAGATACATTTATGCTGAAAGAGGATGTTGCGTGTTGTTCGCGTATGTTGCAAAATAAGGTTTACAGACAGACACAGGTTTCCTCAGAACCAGGAGCCATCTCATGTACGAAACCACTGCGTCTTTAAAAATGGGTGGCAGTGTCACTTCCTTTCTTTAAAAAAGAACTTCCCCAATCTGACCTAACTTGCGAGGCAACTAAGCAAGAGAAACATGGGAGAAAAGAGAACTGACAGATTTATCCACCAGATTGTGAAGCGCTTAGCTCTTCAGAGGCTCTCTCTGGAGTCCCCAGATGTTCACCGTGCTTCTGGTGTAATAAATGCAGCCGATTGACTTATCAATTGTGGCAAGGAAGGTCATAAAACTCATTTAACTCTCTTGCTTAGCCACAGAAAGTTTGGGCTCAATTGGGGTCGTAAGTCAAGGACTTCCTGTGTAGGGATCTTCTGGGAAAATTTCTCTCTCTCTCTCTCTCTCTCTCTCTCTCTCTCTCTCCCTCTCTCCCTCTCTACCTCTCTCTTTTTCTCTCTACCTCCTTCCCTCCTTCCCTCTCCTGTTCCTAGCCAGATCAGAATCACTTTTTTCGTCAGAATGATGCCTTTTGTGGGGTTCTCCTGTCATATCAATGTGTAAACCTGACCTCTCTTCTGATTTTGAAGAGTTATTCTGCTTTTGAGAAACAGAGTATAAAGTTTCTTTCCCTAATTGATTTCTAACACTTCTTTGGCCTGGAAAGAGTTAAAATGCCCCCACGGAAGGCAGCAGTTATCTAAGAAACCTGGTGCTAACTTCCCAGAGCTGATGGGGAAGAGTAACAGATACCGAAACAAAGAAGAAAAACCTGCCATCAGGTCTGTCGAAAGCAGATTATTTAATTTTTCAGAGCGGCTTGGAAAAGATCTTAAGTTTTCATTAAGTGCCGAACTACGCCTAATTTTTTTTTTCTGGTATCAGAGTTTGCAGGACAGGGGAGGATTCAATCCCTTGGAAACAAACCAGAACAAAACATTAGATATCAAATGTACAGCACGGGCCTTTGTGTTTGTGGCCGCTTTAAATTTTTAACAAGACTGTGGGAATTGTGTTGGCTGTCACCCTGGAGCCTACAACCCGGGTCAACCTGCTGGTTGGGTTCAGAAAAAACGGCTGGCCTGCGGAGGACGGCTAAGGCAGGTTCATGAATGGAAAGAACGCTCAGATCCAGGGAAGCAGAATCCAGATGTTGATCTATGGATCAGCCCAGCATATGCATTACATTTATTTTTTTTTTACATCCAGCCTTTATTGTTTTTGCTAATAATCAAGGTGAGAGAGGGACTAGGTCAAAGTTACCCAGCTGGCTTTCATGCCCAAGGCAGGACTAGAACTCACAGCCTCCTGTTAATTGGCCCAAAGTCACCCAGCCAGCTTTCATGTCTAAGGCGGGACTAGAACTCTTTATCTACTGGTGATTGACCCAAAGTCACCCAGCCAGCTTTCACGTCTAAGGCGGGACTAGAACCCACAGCCTCCTGTTAACTGGCCCAAAGTCACCCAGCCTGCTTTCAGGCTTAAAGCAGAACTAGAACTCACTGTCTCCTGGTTTGTAGCCTAGTGCTTTAACCACTTTTAATCCCCCACAAGGGCTGGTATGTATTGATGATAACCCCAGTGCCAAATGCACCTGGTTTTTCTTCCTTGCCTTGGCCCATGAAATTCACAATTTTGGGGGCAAAGAAAAGCTTGCTAAAAGCTAGCATTCTTTACTCAGAAACAGCCCAGGACGCTGTAAACATTGCTCTGAAGAACCTCTCAAAAGTTTTTTTTTTCCCCCCTGAAAAGCCACTTTAGATCAGTTGGCTGGTTCCCTTGCCTAGTATCTTTCCACTCTTTTTTTTTCTCTCTCTCTCTCTTTCTCTCTCTCTCTTTCTTTTACTGATCAGCCCAGCCCCTCTGAGCATTCCTCTCTTGCTGCAGGCGCAACATTACATAATATTCCTGGCTGGGCCATCATCTCACACATGCGGCTCGCTGGAGCAGTTTCAAAGCAGAGACTGTCGCCAAGTTGATCCTGGGGACCAGCCACTGGTGCCTTCTAGAGTTTCAGAACTACAACACCCACAATGCCTTGTCCCTGAGCGTGCTTGCTGAGCCAAGAAAAGGCAGCCCATTCAAAAGTATTTAATTACTTATTGCAATGGCTACCTTTCAAAGCACTTTTACTCACCGGCAGGCACGCAAGCCAGTTTATTAAGCATTCGCAAGCTTGCATAGCAAGTCTTTCCCGTGCCCCAAACGTTAAACCATTATTCCTGTCGCAGGGGTAGCCAACCTTGGCAACCGTTCAACACCCGGGGGGGCTTCAACTCCCAGCATTCCCCAACCAGCCATGGGGAATGCTGGGAGTTGAAGTCCACAAAGTGTTAAAAGCTGCCCAGGTTGGACATTTCTGCTCTAGGCATTTGCTTTTGAAAGGGCGCTGGTTTGAAAAGGGGTGCAAACGCATAGAGCAGAAATGTCCCAACTTTGGCAACTTTTAACACTTGTGGGCTTCAACTCCCAGCATTCCCCAGCCAGCCGTGGGGAATGCTGGGAGTTGAAGTCCACAAAGTGTTAAAAGCTGCCCAAGTTGGGACTTTTCTGCTCTAGGCGTTTGCTTTTGAAAGGGGTGCAAACGCAGAGAGCAGAAATGTCCCAACTTCGGCAACTTTTAACACTTGCGGGCTTCAACTCCCAGCATTCCCCAGCCAGCCGTGGGGAACGCTGGGAGTTGAAGTCCACAAGTCTTAAAAGATGCCAAAAGTTGGGACATTTCTGCTACAGGCGTTTGCATCCTTCCAAACCAGCTTTTT